ACTACTAGTGTTCGCTTCTCTTTGAGATATAGGTAAGGTCCTTATAACAAAGCTGAAGACAATTTAAGCCTAGCTCTTCAAAGCACAATTAAGCATGACAATGATAAAGTTTGTTAAAAAAGAACTCATGGGTAACTGAAATATAAGCCAAGTAGAAATGCACAGCCTAAAAATGTAACTGGATATACATATAAATACATACTTCAATAGCCTATAAGTGCCCACTGATGAGCAAAGCCTCGTCTCACACGGAGAAGGTTTGAGCATTAATCACCACGCTTGCTCAATGCTGATTGGGAACTAGATATATGTAGTAACTTATACCTCTATAACACCTTATCTTCAAGTTCTATGCTAAAGTAATGTTCTTCAAAAGTGAACATTCTCGGTGTGGTATTGATTATAGAAACCTTATGTCGGTAATCCTCTACGTAGGTAGCATGCGTCGTGTTTTGTTTTTGTTTTGTGAGACGGCATCAAGCACTGTTGCTGTCTCCCTTGGGAATTTTTCTGTCATTTAGATTTTTCTTGCGTAAAGGACAAAAATATCCCATACGGCTGTTTGTGTACGTTTCTCTTACATAATTTATCATTTGCGTTGTTGAAATTACTGTTGAAAAAATATCTGTATAGGTTATATTTTATTTTTATTAAGAAAGGTACTTCTATCTTCGTCTACTTGAAGCGGTATGCGGTTAATTATAAAAACGAATGACTACAGACGTTAAAGTAAGTTTTGAAAAACATGAATTTATTGCAACGAGAAAATCCGAACAAAATATAAGCAAAACGTAAGAATCTTTTATGATTTTATGAATACTGAATGTCTAGTATCTACCAAATAATTAATGCATTCACTGAGCATCGAAATAAATACATGAATTTGATACACAGATAAAAATCAACAACATAACAAAACGCATTCATCCATATCCGGCTTCCGAACTCCCAATTATTATCAGTGGAAGAAAGAAGGAAAGAAAGAAAAAAAAACAAATTAATTATGGCCGCCAAAAGATTAAAAAAGCAACTAGCCATAAAATTCTGAGGGATGGCAATAATAAAAAAAAGACGAAAAAAAGAATTCAAAAAACGAATGCCCAGCTGCCATCGTTACGCCGAACGCATCTATCGCTAGAGGGAGATAACATTCCAAGAATACTAAAGACGAGAGAAAGAGATGGATATATGGATTAAAATTGGAAGTGGGATTAATTTTATTGGAGAGTAAAACATATATTACGTTTAATAGGTCCCAAGTCGTTGATGTGTAGGTATAGATTTTATGATTATTGTTTATTGTTGAAATAATATTATCCATTTATTGATCCTGCCCACGAATAGGTACCAAATACGTAAGTAAGTATATTGTAGAGGTAGATATAAAATGTCTAAAAGGCAGGGAGAGAAAATTTTCTCTACTTGAAGAATTAGTAAGTGACTTTCGAAACTATAACTGAAATAATTTTTTTACTCAATTAACAAGACAAGAATTATTGACTATTTTTTTTAAGGGGGTAAAATCATCGAGTGACTGCTCCCGCCTGGGTGAGGGTGGAGGGAGTGTCAGACTCTTACTGACTAAAAATCATCCCATTCCTTTTCCTGCACGTCGAGCCGGAGCCCCGGTAACCCGTAAGGTTCTCCGCGACAAGAATTATTGACTATAGTTCGTCATTATCGTCATAATATCTGCCACAACATGTTCTTTGCTTCACATGGATCTCCAATTACTTCCAGGACGACCGGTTGGGAGCGACCTGCATCTAGCACCTTTATTGGGTCATCTGTCCACCTTCTGGGTGGCCTTCAAGAGCTACATTTACCATAATTATAATTCATAAGACATCCTAAATGAAAATCAAGTGTAGTTCAGAATTGACACGGCAATAAATCAAAACAAAAAACTGTCTACTCGCATATTTTTTGCACGAAAATGTAGTGATTATAACTCTCACTTTATGAGGCCTATTGACAGCTTATTCTAGCAAACAATTAAAAACGGTCTCCTATCGTTATCTGTCATAAAAGAACTGATAAAAAACTAGTTTCTTTTTCAAGAAAATTGTAAGAGTGCTACCTGAAAGACAAACGCTAAAATATCGCGGCATATTTCCTGGTACAACCCTTTTTGGGATTAGGAACCCATTTTTTATAAATCAACACTACGTCAGTACATGGAGAGTACTTTTTGAAATCCTTTTACTTATTTTTACTTGAGTTATTTCAGAAAAAGAAAACAAATGGCTGACAAAAAAAACGCTGTGGATTAAAAAAGGCTTAGTAATTTTTAACTTCACAAATCTGTGCAGTGATATTTTATAGAATTTATTTGTTGCTCGATTTACGACGATATTTATACATTACGGTAAAATCTATATTAGATTATTTAATCAGTACAATGTCATAAAAATATACTATGAAAAAAAAAATTATAAGACCTATGACCGAACCTTGTGGAACGCCACAAATTATACACGTTTTTTCTTAGGAATGACTAACAACACAACTTCGAAGTATTTCTAATATTCTATTTATGTATTATAATAAGTTATTATGGGTAAAAATGTTAAGATAATTATATTTTTTACGATATTTTTAGTGTACAACCGTTGCGAACGCCCGCGTCGGTATCAAAACCATACTTCTAAAAAGCGAAGGGAGGTTAATCCGGATCCCGAGATGCCTCCCTTTTGAATTAAAAATGTCGTTCCATTTTCTTTTTTTGAAAATTTAAATCTCTGTTGTGATTGGTCAGTTTTTTCGTTTCGTTGATATTTTTTTAACTGTTTGAAATATCTTTTCTAAGTAAAATGTTTTCTAGAATAGAAAATAGAATGGTTTGAAAAAGGTCGAATGACAATATTTATAATATTCTTAGAAGTAGATAATAGGAAAGATATAAATGTAAGAAGCATGATTATATCAATTTATACACCACAATGAAATAAATGAATGAAAATACTCTTCATTTTGTATTTACATCTTTCTCTTTATTTACCGTTTCATCTACCTTCAAAGATTATCTATTACTGTCTACATGAAAAGACAAAACGATACTTGTTAGCTTCCAACTTTTATCCGTTAAAACCAACACACATACGTTTATCTCTTCGAATAAAAATAAAACATCTAAAACCTCTACAATCGACCGAAAAAGGGTCTAAAAACACAACACGCTAAATGTTGCCAGCATCAAAACTCAAACTTGTTACTAATTAAAGCGAACTAACAAGCGACTTCCCGTTTCTCCCACATTTCGGGGGTAGCATGGCAACACAGGGGGTGGGAGATAAGCGGCTTACAGGGGAGAGAGGGCCTGTTTTGATTATTTCGCAAGGATGTCTTCTTGGTACGTAAATTATGCAGCGTTCCTTCCTAGCTGTTGTTTGAAGAATGGGCTTGTCTGTCAAACTGTACTTGTTTGTGTGTATAAAATTTGAAATTTTCCCCAGATAGGCAGCCCTGCTGTTGCGGTAATTACTTTAGTTTATGCAATACTATACCTAAAGATTTACCAAATAAAGTATAATTTGAGAAACTTTTTGAAAGTTAAAAAACTGACGAAATAAGACCGGGTTGAGGTTAAATACTTAACTTAAAGATGCGTAAATAACAAAGCAGTGCTTCGTTGATAGATTGCCACATATATTTTACAAGAAGTTGAACATTAAACTTTAAGAATCAGAAGTCGAAAATGCAAATGTTGTAGAATATTTTACGCGTTCTGTCAAAATATACAAATTGTGTTCATTAGTTTGACAAATGGAGTAGGTAGTGCCTTTGTGTCAACAGAGTTTAAGTGAACACGAACATAAATTCGAAATGTGTTCCATAAGTTCCATTACTTGATTTTAATACCGAAATATGTTGATATTTCTTTGTTTAAATATTAAAGTAGGCAAATTGTTAGTTTCGAAACTTTAATAGGTAACTGTTTTTGTGGCATTTGAGAATATTTCTACATTTTGATAATAAATATCTGTGTATTCTCTTTTTTACCAACGTGAAAATGGAAAAATACAGATACATTACATGAGAGAATGAATAAAAAGAGTATCTATCTCATTAGAAACACCGTTGGGCATAAAAAGCTCGTGATAAATTACAAAATGAAATCCCGAGTGAAATTCATTTTGTCGCCATATTGGAATTTGTGACAAACAACGATTCTGTTTTCCGCCATCGTGATTTTTTCATTTTGTTTTCTTTTGTTTTTTTTTTTGTTGTTGTTATTAATGTCATTACGTACTGTTAGAAATGGAATATAAGAAGTATATTTCGTAAATGTTATGAGAATTATTTAGCGGTGGAACATTTTTTATGTGATGGAGCAATATAAACGAAAAAAAAAATACTTGTTCTTGTGAAAATTTAAGTCATTTTTCTGTCTTAGAACTTATATTCTATAAACGTATATTTCTATACCACCAAAACGCTTCACGTACCTAAGAAAGTTACTAACGAATACTGCGCTTTGGTTATCTGCTGACCTCTAAATCTTCCCTAGGCTTAGAAGTATTTTGAATACAATTTTCAAAGTCTATTTAAAATATTACCACACCATTCCTAACCGACTTAGCTTCGTCTCACACAAGTCTAAAGATTTAACATCCATCTTTTGAGTCCTTCACATTTCTAGTAAATATTTTTAAAAACATGAAGTAACGAAGTCGTGGTTTCAAAAATATCTAATTAAAACTATAAATTAATCAGAAACTTTCAAAAAAATTGATTGAAAAGTCACATTTATGAGTGTTTAGACTAAGCTGTCATGTATTTTAATGATAATAATTTAGAATTGATTGCTGTTTAGCGGATACAAATTTTAATTGCATTGCAAAATATTTAAGCTTACGTGTTGAAGGAATTTAGGCGTAGAAACTTAAGACATAGAGAATAGAATCAATATGAATATTGGATATCAATAGTTATAGCCTAAAGTATTAGGTACATAAGTTGTTTATTTCAAAATTTGAAGGGCATTAAAAAAATCTTACCTTGTGGAAATCCAACAGCTTCTAAACCATGTGGGGTTAGGCCAAACGGCCCTAATCCTCCTAAAGGGCCTGGGCCCATTCCCATGTGATGCGCACCGGAGTGGTGGGCATAAGGATTCTGTGCCAACGGAGATGGCTGCTTCAAGTAATGGAAGTAGTGGTGAAGAGGCGTCGCCGAATGGGCCTGAGGTGCCGTCGGCCCGCCGGCCGCCGGTCCTGTCGCCGACGCCGAGTTTGTCAGCAACGCCATCTTAACTTTTTTTCTTTTTTTATAGCCAAAAGTATTTAGTCACCGCATTAACCTCTTTCGTGTGTGTATTGACATTTTTGCGGTTTTCTTGTCGCGTTTGGCTAGTCTCTGGTTGGTGACATTTTTTTAGCTGTTTTTGATATCTGAAACAAAGGAATGAAATTGTTAGATGTCGTAAATACCTGTCTACTTATAGTTATGTGACAATCGGCCGTTATTACCTCAATAGGTACATGTTATATTTCATTTTATTCATGCTTTTAATTTTTTGCGCAACATAAATTCAATGAAAGATAAATTGGAATATGATGAGAGTCAATACATCTCCAATTTGTTCGCGCAACTGAACTTTAAACGTAGCAATTATTTACGGCTCATACGTTCATAAATAAACAGTTTACGCACGTCTTTTTGAATTATAACTAACACCGATTGATTTTTTTGCTACAAACTACTTATTTTACAATTACACATGACAATGGTAGATTTTCTGCACTATTGCAACACTAAAAACGTTAAAGTCAAACGTGGAACGCCTTCAAAATTTGATATTTGAATGAGCCTCGAGCGTTCCATTCGTCACGATTCGGGCGTTCTGAATTCAAACGTGTAGGCTTTTTTTAACTTCATTGAAAAGGTTTGAACGGAACTGATTCGTTCTTTGGTTTGCGAATAAAGAATGGTTTTGATCTCCAAATAGGAGATTGAAAATAAAAAAGGTTGAATTTAAATTTAATTTGAGATGGAAAAGAGTAGCATTTCGAACACCCACGTCTTCGTATGTGAACTGAACTATTTTGACGAAAACATAACATACTTTTAAAGATTTATTTTGGTAGAAGTTCTTTTATTTAAAATAGGTTTTGATGATATTATGAAATACAAAGAAATCGTTAAAATAACTGGAATTAAAAATAAAGAGGAATAAATAATATAACAGACAAGAGTGTTGAGAAAAAAAAAATCATACATGCATTGACCGTGTACCTTTCCAAAGAGCAAAATTCTTTTTTTTCTAATGTTGGCAAAGGTGTAGTGTAGGTACATGTTTACTGACATTTTGTCACGTTTATTTTTTTTTGTGGCCGTTACCTGAGTTGCCTTTGCCAAATTGAGGGGGCTATCACGTGTAGCCTTTGTGTTTTGAAAAAAAAATCACAAGGCGTATCAATGTGATGACATTTGAGAAGAAAAAGTGTATGATATATCTATGGTGCTGGTTGTAAGATTAAAAAAAAATACTTTTAATAATTTTGGTAGTAATTTTGAATAATAATAATTTTGAATGAATCGTTCTGTCTCTTGACCTCTTTAGGTAAGTTGATGTCAATTTCGAGGGGAGACTGTAAAATTAGATCATGACAAACCAACAACATCCTTACTATAATATTATAAATCGGAAACTGAGTTTGTTTGTTTGGTCCACTTTCACGCCGTAACTACTAAACCGATTGCTTTGAATTTTTGCAGACGTGAAGTAGAAGTCTGGAAAATTTGATATTCTCGAGGGAAAACGAAATTATTGGTATAGATGGCACTGTGTGTATTGATATATGTCACATAGGCTACTTTTTATCCTTTTGTGACGCGAGCGAAGCCGCGGGTAAAAGCTAGTTGATAATAAACAGTTTTCCCTTTTAGAAGTGTATTTAGAGAACTTTGGATAACAAATCTTAGATATAATATCTATACCTATAGATTGTTCAAACTGATACTAGGATAATAAAGAGATTATGTAATTTGATTAAGAATATCCAATTTAAGTCAGGTTTAAAATTCAATTCAATTTCAGTAATGTGTTCACAGATATGTAGTGGAGACATAGGTAGTGCTTACAAGACAATATTATGTTGTCAACAAAGGGCCTAGTGCAAGTTTGTTTTATGACCGGTTTATGACTTTTGGCGCTCTGATTGGCCTGCTCGAATTAACGAGCCAATCAGAAGGCAAAACGTGGTAACGATTCGATAGCGTTAACTTAACAAAAAGAGTAGCATTAGGCCCTCTGAAGACGATGACGATGAACATAGAGACGATAACTCTCATTTTTACTTGAAATAAGTATTTACGATCATTTGACCAATATTATCTTTGACGGTAAGAAAAAAATATTAGTTTGCATAGTAAAAGTGAAAGAAAAAACTAAACATTGTCACTTTTAACGCTGTAACCGGCAGTGGTTCGCAGAAACCGCTCTGTTCATGCTACATAATCTATCAACAAAAGATTATCCTAAGCCCCATAGATGTGTATCTACAAAACACGCTCTAATATTACAAATGCAACTCTATATTAACTAGAGTAGAGTAGAAATTTGCCCAATATTATTCGAGGTTTCGTAAAGGATTTCCGTTCAAATAACTCGCCATAGTTTTGCCGACCAGACCCTTAAAAGGTGTTCAATTGTATAACTTAATGTAGATTTTGTAAGACTTTTCGAGTCCCAAAAGTCGGTGGCTCTGAAGAGTTTTCACGTCAACGATTTTTTGACAATTACGTTCTCTTTGCAAGAGTAAATACGCAGTTTTTTTTACGTTACGTTCGCAGAAGTTTCTCTCGTCTGTCGTAACAAAAGAAAACCGCAATGAGAAAAAACTTTGGTTTTACCAAGTACAAAATTGGAATGCGACAGTTTGCGTGAACCACACGTAGTGTTTACAAAGAAAAAGTTTTTTATGTAAATAGACCACCTCAATAATGAACGTTGTTTACTTCATCACTACATAGTACAAAACAAAGTCGCTATACGCCGTCTGTATGTGAATATGTATGCTTAGATCTTTAAAACTACGCAACGGATTTTGATGCGGTTTTTTTAATAGATAGAGTGATTCTTAAGGATTTTTTAGGTATATGTATATTACATGCATATTGCACCCGTACGAAGCCGGGGCGGCTCGCTAGTTTGTAATAAAAACTGATGGTACAACATTGTCATTGTTAAAAAACGCTAATGTCGGCTTTGCTGCCGAAACCAAATGAAATAAAATCACAAAAGCATCATTTAAAATACGGTGTCAATCTCTGTAAATCTATTTGTCAAAGCGCAATAAACGCCATAAATAATAACAGTGCAAACATCGTACATATTGTGTGAAGGAAAACAAACATTAGCGCCCTCGTTGTGTTTGCGCAGTTGGCAGCTCTGGTTGTCAGTGTGACAAATTGAGAAAGCGCGCGCACAGAGGGTCAAAAGTCACAGATAATTTAGAAAAAAAAATATTTCAAACATTCTGGCCATTTTTTGATGTGTCGGTCGGTAACATAAGTCAAATGTATTTTACAATATTTCTTCATCAATAACAGATGCGGCTTTCGTCGTTATTGTGTTCTATGCTAATTTCAACACATATACCAGTCAGTTGGGTTTCTTATTTCAAAAATTTCTCATGTCACTAGTGTTTTTTTAATATACATTGCGTGATTAATGTCTTCATTTTGAAACCTATGGAATGGTAAAATAATTTACTGTTTAAAATTTAATATCTATTACTAGAAGTCTTATGAACATTCAGTCCACTAACTTTTCTCTGGCATAATGTATCGATAGTTATTAATTTAGCATATCAGCTTGATATACGAGTATTCTTCTTTATAAAGCAGATATTTTATGTCCCGTATCTTAAGGCTACGTATCATTTGTTTGTTATCTCCCTCCACCAAGACATCTAACATCCCAATAACTATCTTTAAATAGACCGCTTCATGGCCCCTCCACCAAAGGTGCAGAACCACGATGATATTATGACAAAGACATTAATAGTATGGCGTGATAATTGCCTGTCAGGGGCGTCTATTGTGACAAATTTTGCGCATCGGAACACACTATTAACTATTTCTATGGAATACGTGTATTTTTTTTCTGGCAACCCTGGGGTTTGTGTAGACCACAATGCTGTCGGCACTTTTTGTTGGTTGTGTCTGAACTCTACTTTATCTATATTTTCCAGAATTTGTACGAAAAGTGATGTGAAGGGGAAATGGTTGCTTCGTTTGTGTATGTATGTACATTTCAACTTTAATTATGTTCATTTATATCGTATAAAATAATTTAAGTATTTTTTTATTTCACTGATTGTGGTGGCACATCCGCTTCCGACATAGGGTCATACGGATTACCCAATGGAAAACAGTTACCAGGTAGTCTATGGACGGACGCCTGAAACTTCAGAGACATCGCTACGCGTCACTCCGACATAGCCCGACCTTTTAAGAATCAAGTTATTGTGAATTTTATCTTAGAAGTATAGTAATAAAATATTATAGATTTTTTGAGCACGAGGCATGCAACTATATACGTATTACTTATATTCTTGCCGCAAATAAAATCAACATTATATATTATTGAAATAAGTGCATATCGCAGATAATTAAATACATATACAGAAAAGACAAAGCATTGCATACCTATGTTCAATAAAATATTACGTCAAACTCTAATCTACATAGCCTTGGAACGAAAAATAATCAACAAATGACAAAGTAACAAATTAATTTTAAAAACGTAATCAACAATCAAACGGTTTCCTTTTCAAAAATTCAAAAAAAAAAGAACTTAATTTGACAGCCATATTAACGGAAATGCCACGGTAGCATCAAATATTTATTCCATGTTCCCAAAACATGAGAAAAAAAAGTTAGTTGGACATGCGCATTATGGACGACGGCGTATCGTCTTCTATTGTCAAAGCTGACAGTTGCTAAACATTCCATATTTGAATGTAAGTTCGAAATTGGAACGTCTTTATTGAGTTCTATATTGTTATCCATACTCTTTGATAAATGTAACACGAAGGTTACTTATACAGAAGTTTTTATAACATTCAGATATAGTACCGATATGAAATTTATGCAGTTCCCAAAGCGGTCACACATCCTCCATTATAGACCTTATTTCCGATGTTTAGTGACTACTTTTGTATAAACAAATGTTGTGGATTTTTCGTACTATATATCAAGTGATTAATATTATTTTTAAAATCCCAGATTTTCCTATCAGG